ATTGGGGATCCTGGGCCCTGACGAAGAATTTGTTCATCTGCTCTTCCTCTAATGTCGGCCTGACTTTTGTAGCTTGTGACCTCTATCGAGTAGCATACTCGCAGAAAGTCTCTGTTGGTTTCTTCTTTAGATTCTGTATATAGAAGACATCCGGTGCATTCTCTATGTTAAACCTGAATCGATCTATGAAGTACAACGCTATGTTTACCCAATTAACCCACTTCTTGGGATTCCGACTGATATACCAAGATAGGGCATCTCCAGTGAGACTCCTCATGAATAGCTTCATGCGAATCCTTTCATCTTTTACAACACCCACGAGCTTATCACAGTACATTCTCAAATGTACTTTCGGGTCACCTATTCTGTCGAACATTTCGAACTTAGGAGGTTTGTAACCCTCCGGCAGTTCCACGTCTAGCGGAATGCACAGATCCTCATAATTCAGACCTTCAATTCCTTTACCTCCTTCGACACCCTGGACTCGGCTCGTGAGCTTCTTGTGCTCTTCGGTCATGTTCTTAATGAGCAGGTTCTTCTTTGTAAATTCTGGAGTGTTTGATGTTGGTTAAGTAGAGTAAGGTAAGGTTTCCACATATATGAGATTGTTTTGGTGGGTGCCATGGGTTGGAGTGTAGTGGTGATCCTTAGTAGAGTTTTGCGGATTAGGGATAGGTTGCGGGATATTCTGGGGAGTATGGTAAATGGTTTGTGGGTTTTTGGTAGGAAGTGTAGACATGTAATTTTTGACCCTCCCCGAGATTTTACACTTTTTACCGTTTAAATATTTAGTTTAGGTCTAATATTGCTATTTTAACTAGTTTTACTCTTTTACTTTATTTTATCACAACAACAACAACAACAAACCCAGTTTAATCCCAACAGGTGGGGTCTGGGGAGGGTAGTCTGTACACGGACCTTACCCCTACCTAATGTTGGTAGAGAGGCTGTTTCCAATAGACCCTCGGCTCAGGAAGGACAAGAAGAAGAAGTGGAAAGCAAGGAAGGAAGAGAAAAGAAAAGAGGAGAGGGGGGATAAAGGATAAGTAGTACCAAATAATAGCAGCAGGGAATACAATACCTGAGGCAAACACAACCACATAACATAATAGAAATCTAAGAATATGAAGGGACATGCATGCTACTAAGACTATCGGTGAACAACTATAAACTACCTACTA